GCCCACCATTTCTCGGATTACTGAGTTTCTAATTTTGTCTCGCCTGGTCTAGTTTACTGCTTTTCTAAGGCATCGCATTATATATTATATTACAACTATACAAAACAACTTCATAGTCATCTTAAGAATATGTGAAAGTTAACATTGTAATGAGAAACAGATTCTTTAAAAGTATGAGAAACTTCAATTAGTGTGTAAAAAATACAACAGCAGCTTGTGTTTTGTCCTCTAGAGGAAGATTAGATTATTCTTATCAAAGAGCATCAAATATGGCCAACGACAATAGACTAACAACAAAATAGATGTTATATGTTTCCATCTCCATCAATTCAATTTAGATCATTCAATTAAGAGATCGGCTGATCAGTGGAGCTTCCACGAACAACTACAAAATGGGAATAGGTTTAGAAACAGTGACTGCTACTGTTAGTGTTAGTTAACACTTAAGTATATAATCTATCTTTAGCAATTAATTCTATATTTTCAAAAATAATTTCCAGTTGCTTTTGTACAAAAATATTTTAAAGTAGACAACTTATCTCCTTTTGATACTGTTAGGGAGGGAGAAAGATTGAGTGGGGCTTTAGGTGCGTCTGAATAAGATGGTCATGTTTTATTTCCACAGGAAATATTTAAAATTTGAATCACTCAACGGAAGAGTAAACTTACAATATTAACCTCCTCATTACAGCAGAATCGATCATGCAACATGTAGATCTAGTTCTACACACACAAAAGGTATAGATTTTGAAAATCATGGGACAAAGACTTTCTCCATCCCAGTGGTGACGCGTCTACAATAAGGGCATCGTCCGTCAAGTTTGGAGACACACAGGGCACAGCCACACAGATGTTTACACGGACGCAGCAAGACCTGGATGGGTGCGTCATGACACATCGGGCAAGACATCACATTAACTTCTTCAATACGACTGCTGTTCTGACATTCTCCCACATCTGGATCATCGGATTGGTCTGTGGATGAGCAGGATGTCAAGTGGCTTAAGCAAAATGAGAAAGAGGCTTACCAGACTCAACATTATGATACCGTAATCATAACGTAGAAGCTATAATATAAGGTAACAGAGCAAGACACACTTCAGAAGGTCAATTCTACAAGGTTATTCTCAGAAAACAAAATGTACTATTAGTCTGACCCGTAGAATTACGCAAATCTAGATTGCCAAATTATGCCAAAAAAAAAGCAAAATTATGCCAAAATTATGCAAGTTACCATAACACCATTCGCGACATGTTTTGCACTTTTTCAGCAAGAATTTTCATGATTTTTCATGTTTTATGAACAGAAAAATTGAAAACGGAACATATCAGTATCAGTAATTTGTTGTGTATTTGGAAAGAAAACAATACACATCAGTCAGAAAAAAACAACAACCAAAAAATATAATCTCTGTAACTTTCAGCTCGATCTCTATAGAGGAAAGAAAAATGTAAAAAAAAAAAAAAAAAAGGGCATCTGGACCTCTGATCCTGCACATTACAAAAACCAGGGACACCTGTCAAACATGAAACATCAGAAGACATGAGAACAACAACTTTTGATGGATTGAACATGCTCAAGGAACAAAATCCCAACCCATGACCAATATCTTCTAACAAGGGAAATAGCCAACTTGTCACTTAAATGAGACTTATTACGTTGATTACTTTCCTTTAGTCACATGGCGAGGTGTTAATTGTTTTGTTAAAAATAGGGGAAAAAACGTGAAAAAACACGGATAATCCAAAATTATGCAAATGTTGCAGAATTGCGCGGATAAACACGGCCGCGCCGTGGTCGCACAATCGCATAATTCTACGGGGACAGATTAGTCCTCATCACATCATTCAATATAACTAGAGAAATTCAAAGCCCTTGAAAACCTCCGACATGAAAAAAATGAAGAATATCATCTATATCATCCATTATAACTAAGTGATAGAGAGACACTGTCCAAGCACAAGCAACTAGAAGATAAAGACTTTTACCCAAAAAACAAAAAGTGCATCCTCAGAATGTCAAAGATCAGACAAAAGGCTTCATAAAGCCGAAGATACCCCCTTCGTAACTGAATATCCTGCCCATATCTCAGAACCACAGCCAAAAAAATACAAAAGAGACAAGGGTATCACACAACACAGCTCCTACATGTAAGTAAAGAGAAGTACATCCACACAATAATGGTCTTAGAGTGCAGGGAATAACAAAGACAGAAAAAACAAAGGGAAAGAAAAGAAGTACGGCCTACCAGTGGTGCCCTCCAACCACCTGCCTATACATGAGACAAAATAATTGTTGACAAACTGACCTTCTGTGTCAAAGTCCAGTCTGTCCAGGGGAGCTGACCGAGGTCTTTGATGTTCACGCATTTCTAGTAACTCTTGTCTCAGCATGGACAGTTGTAGATCTTTGGTGAGGAGTGCCTGGTTTTTCTCTTCTATCACCTGTCTATTCTCTTCTATCACCTGGTCTTTCTCTTCTAATGCCTGGTCTTTCTCTTCTAATGCCTGGTCTTTCTCTTCTAGCTCCTCTATGACCTGAAGACAAAAATTGAACAAAAACTATAAATCTGCAACAAAATGCAAAACCATTCCTTACTTTCCGGAAAAAAAAAAGAATTTAAGAAAAGGGCCTCATATTCAAGATAATAGTTTTCCAATACAATATCATTTATCATTTTATGTCAAATTTTGCTCTCACACAATGATTTCATCTTGCTCCAAACAGAACGAAAATATGACAAACCCACAGCAGTTAACAGAACGTTCAAATGAAGACATTTTGTCAAAATCAAAAGGCTCATCGTACCTGACATCAGTCAACATTTAAATCCCATTCAGTTCTAGTTGTAGTTCTCAATAAAAATCAAAGAAAAAAGACATGACTATGACACGACTTTCCAGTTTTACTGCATCAAGTGCACACTCCATTAAACGTACAGACACCTCTCAAATTACTTAATAAACAAATGTGTTTCAGACACCCTACCAGCCGTGTCCCCATTCACTCTCCTCTATCTCCCTTCCCCCACCCCCATCTCCCTATAACAAAAGTTCCAAAACAAACATCAACTCAACAGCACAATTATCATGGCAGTTATGGTGTTGGCCCTCCAGTGGTTAGTCTGCTCAACCTGCTGCTGTAATGCTATTGGTTCGGATTCTGGCCCAATGTTTCGTCCTTGGGAAAGACATTTTCCACAAATTTCCTTCACTTCACAAAGGTGAGAATGAGTATGCTATCCAGAAAAATCAATGAAAGATCTTGTCAGAATGTTCATGTTCAAACACCTAGGACATGGCAGTTTGCACTGAATGTTTCTCTAAAAAATCAAAATGTTTCACAACGCAGTGCAGTAGACAATACATTGCAAAACAACATAGAACATACTTTGAAACACGGAAATACCTTTCCATAATTATTATTGTTGTTACTTTTATCATTCATTACGTATTATTAACAAAAGCACAGGACAAATTGCCGGCGTCTGCAGAGCAGCAACTAGGCGTTTTATTGTTGCAAGCAAGAGACCCAAGTTCATTTCATCAGTGGGAAGAACATTTTTATCGAGTGTCGAGGACATTTTGCTAGAATGTTGTATCCCTCTCAGGCCAGGCTGGACTTGACAGGCAGAGTTGGAAGCCTGACTCCTAAATGATCTAAATTGTATCAATGGAGGTGTAAAAAACAAATACATTTAAAAAACAAAAGCAAAAAAGACAGGAAAATCAAACCCTAAATGAAACATTCATAAGAACAAAAAAAAACCCACCATGAATAAATATCTGGTAAAATCAAACAAAAAGTTTTCCCATAAGTGGACACTGCACTACACAACAATACAATGATCCTTGCTAGAGTAAATCAAATGAGGTTTATATAATATGTTTAAAACTGAAGTTAAAACACAATCACTGGGTGGGATCACCGCTTAACAATATAAAAGGGATAAATGTTGAGCTAATCAGAAATATTTTTGTTAACTCTCTGCCTTTACTCTTCAGCTTCTCTTTTCACACAAAAAACAACTTCTGAAAAGCAACCCTATAACTTAAGCAATCAACAATGATTTCATCTTCAATAATAGGAGCAAGAGGAGAGAAAAACAATACCAAGAAATTCTCTTGTATCTTTCCATCAATTCTTCTTGGACCATAACAACCTACTAGATATAATTTTTTTTTCACTAAAGAGAAGAATGACAAATAATTCAGAGCAGGAAGAAAAGAAAGATAAACAGAGAGATAGAAACAACAGAAAGGAAAGGAAGTAAGCCCTACCACTCATCAGTAGCACCCTCCAACCACCCACAACACCACTTTGGTTATTACACAGAAGGAGTACTTCCCCCTGACTCCATGTGTCAGATTACAGTGAGTCAGTACAGCAACACTCACCTTAAGCCAAACATAGACTGGAACAATTATAACAGTGGCAAGAAGTACAAGGAACAGACCACACAAAAGCACCCACTAACCACCCATGACTTTAATTTTAAGTCTTTGGTCGTAAAAGAAAGCTTCAACAAAGGAGGAAAAAACTCATAACACACTCAGCTTTGAAGTAGAAGGAGCAGACCACACAAAAGCACCCAATAATAACTCATGACTTTAATTTCAGGTCATTGGTCCAAAAAGAGTTTCAGGAAAGGAAAAGGAAAAGTTCAAACCTCAACCTTTCATCAACACTGCCACAGTAACTGGTAAGTAGAGAGAGATGTGTTAACACTGAGAAGAACCCTAGCATAGAGAAACACAGAATGTGGCTGTTCTTATTTATCCCAAGTCTGCAAAAGTAGACCAAACGGGGATCATACAATACGTTCAAAATAAAAGTTAAAACTAATTATTTGGTAGGATCACCACTTGACAATAAAAAGGGGAAAAAAGTTGAGCTTATCACGAAGAAATTCTTCTCCATCTTCCCATCTACTCTTGTAGGGACTATAACAACTTACTTGATATATCAGTTTTTTTCAGGAAAGAGAAGAATATCGGCACAATAATTCAGAGCAGAAAAAAAAGAATGATTAAAAAACAGAGGTAGAAACAACAGAGGCAATGAAAAGAAGTAGTACCAACCACACACCAGTAGCACCCTCCAACCACCCACAACACCACTTTGGTGCATTGGTCCTAAAAGAAAGCTTGAAGAAATGAAGAGAAAAATTCATAACGCACTCAGCTTCAAACCTCAACCTTTCATTAACACTGCCACAGCAACTGGCAAGAAGAGAGAGATGAGTTAACACTGAAAGGACCCTTGCTCAGACAAACACAGAATGTGGCTGTTCTAATTCTCCCAAGTCTGCAAAAGTAGACCAACAGGGGGTTTTAAAAGTTCAAAATAAATGCTAAAAACTAATCATAGGGCAGGAACACCACTTGACAATAAAAAGGGGGAAAAAAGTTGAGGTCATCAGAATAATTTTTTTAATAATCGGCCTAAATTCCTCGGAGTTCTCTTTTCACAACAACAATAACAAAAAAAGACTTCTGAAACACACTCCAAAATAAGCAATTGACGATTTCATCTTAACAAAAAGAAAGGAGAGAAAAACAATACCAAGAAACGTTTCTGTATCTTCCCATCTCCTCTTGTTGGGACTTTAACAACTTACTTGATACATCAGTTTTTTCAGTAAAGAGAAGAATATCAGCAGAATAATTTGAAGTCGGGAAAAAGAGAATGATTAAACAGAGATAGAAACAACAGAGGCGATGAAAAGAAGTAAGACGTACCACCAGTAGCACCCTCCAACCACCCACAATACCACTTTGGTTATTACACAGAAGGAGTACTTCCCCCTGACTCGATGTGTCAGATTACAGTGAGTCAGTACAACAACACTCACCTTAAGCCAAATACAGACTGACACAATTATGACTGTGGCAAGGAGTACAAGGAGCAGACCACACAACAGCACCCACTAACCACCCATAGCTTCAACTTCAGAGCATTGGTCCTAAAAGAAAGCTTCAAGAAAGGATGAGAAAAATTCACAAGACACTCAACTTGGAAGTACAAGAAGCAGACCACTCTAAAGCACCCACAAACCACCCAGAACTTCAACTTCAGTGCATTGGTCCTAAAAGAAAGCTTCAAAAAGGAAGAGAAAAATCCATAACTTACTCAGATTTGAACCTTGACCTTTTATCAACACTACCAGAGTAACTGGCAAGGAGAGAGAGATGTGTTAACACTGAGAGGAACCCTAGCATGGAGAAACACAGAATGTGCCTGTTCTTATTTATCCCAAGTCTTTGCCTACAGTCTGGACTGCCATCTATGACACAACACACAATACAGTCACACAGAGGTCAAAGGAGAGATGGTCAAATAATATGGACACATATTTTGTAACACCAATGAGGTGAGGTCGCAAAGGTCAAAGGTTATAGCTCACCTGATTCATGGCCAGCTCACGCCAGTCACGCTCAAACCTCTGACGCTGGAGTTCTCTCTCCTTGGCCTGGATCTCTGTGTCCTTGACCTGGTTCTCAGATTTGACTGCCTCGACCTCTGACTTAATGACTTCAACCTCTGACTTAATGACCTGGTTCTCTGACTTGATGACCTGGACCTCGGACCTGATGTCCAGGTTTTCCTGTGTCTTGTCACAGAGCGTCTTGTGGTGGTCAGTGCCGGCCTTGAGCAGACCCAGCAGGAGGGGAGAGTCGGGGAACTGGCCACCTGAAGATACAAACACACACGTGGTAAACACTCTATCTACTACACCACACTGTTCGCTGACAGCTTTTAACTTTAGAAAAGTACCTGAGACATAAAAGTGAACTTTTTCAACAAAGTCAGTTGTTGGACAACACCAGTACATAGAAATTACAAAGGTTTTTAATTACTACAGAAAATTACACAACATTTTGACTCCTTAGTGTAAGACTTCGCCATACGATGTTTTGAAGAGTGATACGTGACGCTATTACACTGAGCAGTCGATTGTTGTTGGAAGAAGACTTAGACACTTCAATAGTTATTAGTCTTCATGAAAATCATTTTTTTTTCTTTTGTTACAACAATATCTGTTCAGTATAGCAAACATTAGGTAAAGTCCCTCCTCTATACATGCTCCATTAAATGAGAAAACAAAAATATTTTATTCATCTCACAACTTATTTCATGAATTAAACTGCTAAAACACCAGCATAAAATAAAACAAATTTACAACAAAATCAACCCTTTTCCCAATCAGCCCTGTAAGCAACATATGTCAGGAAAGACTGTCTCTTGTTAGGAAAGGAGATCAGTCAAGTAAAAGAAAGTGGTGATGATGCCATCAGAGATTTGCTCTGTATAGAGGAGTGACTCACAAGTCAGGTAAAAGAAGGTGATGATGGCATCAGAGATTTGCTCTGTGCTGTACCCACGTGCACGAGCTGAGGAGAACAAGTCCAGGTCCAGGTACGGTCTGGGTCCAGTTGGTTGTGGAGATGATGACGATGATGATGATGATGATGATGATGATGATGATGATGATGATGATGATGATGTTGCTGCTGCTGTTGACAGTGTGGTGGATGAGGTAGCTGCCTCAAGACCTGAGAGAGATAACACAAGAGTAAACTAATTATATGTCACATTGATCGGTAATACAAGGTAACTTAAAATTACTCAGTAAAATTGGAGATGTGAAAAGAGTTTCGAATAAAGTCAAAACAAATGAATCTTACTAGGAAAAATTAAATAGATAGAACAACAATTGAATAACGAAAAAATCTCTTCAACAGTCATGGCGCTATATAAAAAGACAGAGCATCGATTTATGGTCTCTTTTTAAAGTTACAGTCAGTCAATTTGCCCATAACCATTATTACAAGGATTAAAACAATGCTTAAAACTTCTTACAAAAGGCATGCTTTAAAATAAATTGATCCTCTATTTAAAGAAAAAGAAAAAAGAAAAAAGATACTCCAGCATTATTTCAAAACTGTACAAACACTGTCCAATAATTTCGATCCACTACTGTACTTAAAAATGTGTCATTATAAGAATTGTAGGCACCCCAGAGTGTGCATTAATCTGTCACTGAGTAATTAAAGCTGTAACGAAACACAAATATAATAAAAGTGTCATGAACAAATTTTTCATGAGGAGTTATAAAATACTGAAATCATGACATATTAACATATTTATTTTTAAATGTCAGCATCTAAAATAAAGTTCAACACAAACAAAATGATGTGACATGTCTCATTGGACCAAATTTTACCTTTTATTTGACTTTCTTGGTTTACTCCAACCACAAGCTGCAACAAAGGGAGAAAAAATGAAATAATTGTGAGAAAAAGCTCAAAAGTTTACAGCTCCTCTAGTAGAAGAAAGGTTACCATCCACTCAAAATTTGTGACTTTAAGATTAAAATAATATATAACATAGCTTCTACCCATGGTGCTATAAATTATGATGTCCTAGCCATGTTCGAACAATGAGAGAAGACACAAAAGTTAGCCCATAGTATTTTAAAATTTGTATAGAGTGAACACTGACTCCTCACTTTTATAAAACTGAACAAGGGCAAATTGATCAATGTTTTTTTAGAATAAAAAAAGAGTAGACCTATTTCTTCAAGTTACATGTTTAGAACATATATATGTCATATATTTTATAAATATCTTTTCATAAAAAAAGAATGAGAACAAGGTAGATTTTACACAATTAGCAAAATGATAGAAATATCATTAATGACATACAATCAATTTTTATTACAACAGAAAAACATATAATCACACCATGTTACCTCTTGCTGTTGAGCATTATTGATGAACTCTTGACCTTTATTGTGCAGCATGAAGTAACAGACTGGAGAGGCACAAGCATGCTGGGTCAGGGGGTCAGCACCAGGTATCCAGTCAAAGAGTTCAATACCACAGGAGAAACAACGGACCATGTCATTGTGACCTGAGGGAAAACAAGTGGAACATTTTGTAAATTATAATTATTTGACTTTTCTTTCCTGAGTTTGAAAATAACTGAAAATTTTTTACTTCATCCTCTTTTTTTGTCAATGAAAAATGAAAGAATATCTCACAAGCTCATAGCTCATGATGTTTCCGGTTGAAGACTGAGTTTTGATAAAAAGTGAAAAAGAAACAGAAGACAGTTTCTGTAGAGACTAAAACAAGGAGTTTGTATCATTATTACAACTACTTTGTCTGTGAAGTTGTTAATATTAGGAATCTACTAAAACATTTGTGTCACGACGCGGTGGAATTAGGTGCTCGTCAATTTTTTTGCAGGTGGAGTTTGGTATCATCTTAAAGCCTGTTCAGTTATCTTGTTTTGAAGAGAAAAAAATACCCATCTATCTTGAGCAGAAGTGAAGATATTTTATATTGAAAGAGGTAAGTTCATTTTATTTCAGCTGTAAAAATAGCGAGAAAATGGCTGCCAAAGCTTGGTAACTTCAAGAGCTAAAGAGTCGTTGAAAACTGAAAACTTGCATACTTTGAGCTTTTAATCAACATTTTTCAACTTAATTCGCAAGAGAATGTGTTTTTAATCGGACATTAAAGGGTTGAACAAAACACAAAAAATTTGATTAAAATTGCGAAACTGGTAGGAAAAATGCCTGTTTCTCCAATTTTGTTATTTTGACCAGCGCTTGATTTCCCCATGATGCCTCACATTTGTTTAAAGTTATAATGTTGATACTAATTATAAATTCTGTTTAGGATTGTCTTTTTGTTTTGATATTTTTATTCTACTTTCTAAAAATAAACAAATACACCTTTAAAAAGAAGAAAGTGGATATATATTGGCGCGAGTCCACACCCCTTCCTGACGTATCGCCGATATATTCGGCTGTGATAGGGTGCTTCAGTATAGTTTCATTTTAACACGATCCGTCATTTATAATTACTTTTTATTGCTATTGATAAACTCGGAAAGGATTTAGGAAACGAAAACATCTAGTTTCATCAACAAAATGATGTACACTACAACCGGACTTGAATTTTATAACTCAAACAAATTTGAATATTGCTTTCAAATAAAAAGCTGCGCATTCAGAAATTTATGAATCATATATATATATATGCTCTTGGCCTCTATTATATGATAAGATAGGCCTAGCTCTATGCTGATTTGCTTTCGTTTGGTGAATGTAATTTTTTCCGTCAAAATTTTATTTTTCATTCACCATCGCCATTTCTAACCCTCGTTTTATATTGGGATGTATTCTTCATTCAATTTCCTTCAATTTGATATCATATGTTACGTTTGGAGCGATGGTTAGTTCTCATGAAGTTATTTTGTACACTACCTGCATAGAGCCAAATCGAGTCTAGACCCCCAAAAAACTATGTCCAGAAAAAGTTAAGAGACAAATATATGATATCTTAAAATTTTAAAACCATTGTTCATTTTAGGAAACAACTTTCATCTTAGATTTCCCTAACACTGAAAACAAACCGTGGCTTCTTTAAACAGAATGAATCTTTTAAAACCTCAAAAATAAATGTTAGATGTGTGCAGTTTATGATCAACTTGAAATGAGCTGGAAAAACTATGATCATAATATGATGCTAATTAAAGTTAATAAAAACTTGAAAAACTGAAACTAAAGACAAAAAGACAACTTTATTATTGAGGCATGCTGAAAAAAAAGTTTCTTTTCGCAATCCACATAGAGACATTGGCCAAAAATCGACACTATAGTGTCAAATTTGTAGATTCTCTGTTGACACCGTATTCTTTAACTGCAACATGCCTTACTTTTATTATTTCATAGGCCTACACTATAAATTGTAAAAACTTCACCAACAGCTTTTGTATACACAGTATCAATGAAGCATCTATCATAAGAATCCGAGAACAAGTAACTCATTTTGTCAGCAACGCTTCACATTTTAATTAAACTAAAAACCCACCTGTATAGTGAAAACCTGCATCAGCCATAACATCAGGAGGAAACATTCCTTTCAGGATCTTTGGCCACAAACTAAAGGTACCAGATCTGTCTGTTGAACTTTCAAACTCTGGATACATGATACTGTACTGTTTTACCAAGGAAGAATCCCGCTCACCAATGTCCACATAATGTTTTGAACGTTCCTTCTCCAGAATACTCCTTTGTACTTCACTAGAAATATTTCCCACATCTAAGTGACACACAAGGGGACACTCAGGTGACTTTTCCTTGTGCACATGTCCAATGTCAACACACACGTCAAACTCCAACTGGAGTCCACAGAAAACACATTGGGCTCGGAGGTTAGATATCATGATGAAGCCATCTTTTGACCATTTAGCTGCCTCAACTGAGCTTGGTGAATTGTATGTAGTCAGTCGAAGACTTTCAAACAACATGGGATACCCACCAGCAAGAGGTTTGAAAGGGTGAACAATAAGTTGATGTCTACTGTACGATGTCCGTCGAGAGTGATCATTGTTCAGTCTACTCAAGAATAACTTTCTTCTCAAAGTTTCTCTATCACTTCTTTCACCCAAGTTACATATGGAAAATACTGTTTCTGGTTCCTGTATTTCAGCTCCTTCATTCATCTCATTCATTAAAGGGGACGACAAGATGGCATCTCGTTCAAC